TTTGACAGCAAGGACGACACGGATCCAGCAAGGACACACGCGCTCTACAGCCCCGTGGTGAGCTGAGAGCTTTCTTTGGATGAAAGCTGCAGAAGTAAAGGCATTTCCTCTCTTGCCGTGGAATTGTGCTCATCTTGACTGATTCCTTACTGACCTGACATTACTACTGGCTGAGAGAATATACAGCAATTTCTGCACCAGAAGATGGTGTCACAATAGATATTAATATCAAGCTACAGATAATGAGCTCCTGGGAGATATGGAAGAATCCCAAGAGATTGTGCAAGTTTAATTCTCAGTTAAGTTCAAAGCACCTCTCTTTTAACACTTCACTCAGAAAAGGATCTCCCAGCCTGACTGACAGAACAACTGCATTTGAAAGTTTGTGCAAAGCAATGGAAAAGAAGAAGCCCAGAGAGTCAGAGCTCCTGCACCCCAACAGGTCACCCTCATAGCAGCCTCCTGAGAGCCAGCGCTAGAATGACTGCTCCAGTTTTACCTTGGCTTGGGGGAAGAACGAAATTGGTCCTATACCTACGCACTAAAGGCCTGATACAATACGTGGGAACAACCACAATGGAACAAAAGTACTCAGGGAGATTGTTTTTAAAACTACTGCTATAAATGACACTGCAGCACATCAAAACAGGTTGCGTAACTAAAAGCAGCTCCTCTGGAATATTTCTATTTCAGGACTCGTAGTAATGGGCCATTATAAGCATCACGTACTGCAGGCATTTACAAAACATATAGCTGTGTAAGCCCCTGGCTACGTTACAGTGAATATACATAGGAATGACATTTTCATTTTAGAAGGCTTTTCCTTCTAGACAGATGAGTTTCTTGTCTAGCTGCACTGGAGACCTAATGTTACATTAGCATACTATTTCTAAGCCCTACAGGTATAACCTTTCATTTTGCTTATTAGTAACTCTTGCTTTTCTATTTCCAGCTGGAAAAAAAAAAAAAAGACCTTAATACACAGCATAACTTCCCTGGCAAGAGATAGTCAATATTACCAAAAACTGAGAACACATTTAATAAGGACATGAAACACTGAATATCTGTCGGCTAAAATTATAGCTCATTCTTGAAAAATTAAGAATTAAAAAAAAAAAATTGGACAATTCTTTTCTTTTCTGCTTTTGGTTTGGATTTTCAGGGGAAAAAAAATACAATGTAGAAACACAATTTCTCTATCTTTAAATGTCCTGGAAATTTTACACCTCCAGGATCAGCACAGATTTGGCATTTTGGTTGGAAAGCCAACAGTGTTGCTGCAGGATGTGGTTAATAAAAATCCTTTGGTTACGTCAGTAATCAGAACTCAAGCTGCCAGCCCAGGAAACCAACCAGGCCATAACAGTTCAGAACAACATATAAGAACCATTAGCCCAATTTGTCTGAAGAGAGGTTCCATTTTCCAAGTGAACTGGGAGATTTCAAGAGAACTGGGAAATTAAAATATTGTCTTTCAGGTACCATTTTTACAAACGAAGCCAAAGTCTCAGCAGTTGGCAGAAAATCTCTTCTGAAGCTGCTGTGCTTTGGCAGGTGCTTACTTTAAGGAAAAGTCATAGTGATGCCCTTTTGCACTTTTACTCTTCTTGTGTTTTCATGCTAAGAACAGCAACTGCAAGAGTGATGTCCAATCCAGTACCATCAGTTTGCTATCATACACCAGCCAGTTTGGGAAGGTCTCCACATAGCAGAATCCAACATGTAATCCCACTGCACTTTGCTCAGTACATTTCATTTTAACAAGAAGAATAAGCATTTTGCAAGAGTTTAGCCTACAGCACACAAAGCGCTTATAAAATCACAAGGAAATCATGTAAGGTAGGCCTACAAATAATTCCAGGCTTCCTCATTCCTATTTCAGAGCTCTTTAATGCTCTTCCTCCACATCATCCTCACTGTGTGAGTGCTGCAGAAATACTGAGTTTGAGGCCTCACCACATTACACATCTCAGCCATGCTGGAAACTGTTCTTATCTGAAAATAACTTGCTACCCAGCAGCTACTGGGGAGCTCTTTTTTGTGAGCACAGAAGGATTGTGACCAGACAGAGATCAGATCTGTATTCAAGAAATGTTTAGACGTTGTATTAAGGGACATGGTTTAGTGGAAAAATACTGGTGGTAGATGGATGGCTGGAGTGGATCACCTTGGAGGTCTTTTGTAACCTTGGTGATTCTGTGAAAGAGAAAATAATTGGAACAAAGTTTCCACAGCTGAGCTTACATCATGACGATAGATCAGACGTGATACTGAAGTGTTAGAAGTAAACAAGACCCCAGGTATATTAATTTCTGTTAATTTGAAGACACAGCTGTTTTGGAGGTGGAAGCCAAGAGCCACCAGCCTCCAAGACAGAAATCTGGAATCAGGACCATCCTATTCTCACGGAATGTAGTACGACAAAATCAAAATATGCAGAGTAATCTGTCTTGCAAAGATGTGAAACACTGGGCATGACCTGATCCTATGAACTAGCAACATTTAGTCAGGGTCTGTCAGCCGTCCTGCCCATCTATCTGCAACAACTCTGCCTCATTAAGACCTGCACTGCACTTTTCCTCAGGTTGGCATTAGAGTACAGCACTTCCCATAAAACATTTGTAGGACTGAAGCAGAATCAAGACAATTTGTGTGACTCAGCAGTGCTTATTCAGACAAACTGAAAAGGGGGAAGGGAATGACTGCTTCATAGCTTCACATCACTGCAACTGAAGGAAGGTCAGGGGAACTGCAGAGACTGAGGTTGAGACTCCAGGACCTCTGGAGGCCACCTGACCCAAGCCTCACCTTGAGCAGAGACCCCTAAAGACAGCTGCCCAGAAGACTTCTGAGCATCTCCCAGGAAGGACACTGTGCCTTTGCTTGACAAAGATACACTCAACAAGTAGGGTATGCGATAAGTGCACATCAGCTTGAATAGATGGGTTTCTTCCCCAGTGCAAATGCTAGAAGCTAAAGAACCAAACAGTAAAAAATGTGGAAATGTTTTCACCAAATTTATCAACACTGTCACCCCGATCAATAACGTATCAGGGGAAGGTTTGGACATTCCATGGGCTTGGAAAGGCTTCAGACTATATTCAAACACAGTTTTCCCTAAGCATTTACCAGCTGTATATATTTCCTAATTCTGAAGAAACCTGGCTTTCAGGTCAGATCTGGAAAACTAGCTCTACTTGAACCCTTTAGATGCAGAAAATACCATCAGACATCTTCATCCTTTAAATTGGACTGAGATGCAGAGGTTACTTTGTAGTTTAAAGCATAAAGAGGAATGGCATAAGAAGTAACCACCATACAATGAAGCAGCAGCATGGGCAGAGCTCAGTTGCCCAAGCAAACTACTATAGCAAACTACAGCCAAATTCCAAACTTCCTGTTTCTCACAAGAAACAATCCTTACTTGCAAGGTACCACCCAGGAGCTATGAAGCAGAAAATGCTTTGTATGTCACATGTCTGAGGCTACTGCCAGCATTTCCAGGCACATGGAAGAATCTCACAGCACCCACTCACTGCAGCTGACCATCACATACATCAGTTTTCACTATAAGCACCATTAATTAGAAGTCAATTGAAATTCTGAAGAACAGGAAGAAAACCTGTTTGAATGTGGCTTTAGAGTAATTTCTAAAAATATGTAAAATCTCTTTGTGGCATTTTCCAAATTGTTGATTGCCGAAGAAGGGAAGGAAACGTAGTTAAACTTACCATCACTGATGCATGATATGCCATCCTACCTTCTCCTGTTTTTGCTGGATGTAGAAAATTGCAAATGTTTTAGAAAATGTTTAAGAGGTGTTTTTCTCATTTGTTTGTTTCTCTGCTTGTAGGTTGTTGTTTTTTTTTTGGTTTGTTTTTGTTGTTTTTGTTTTGGCCTGCCAGCAGATTTACCAAAGCTTCTCACCGTCACAGCAACAGGAATAATAAGGAGCAGCCTTGCCATATCTTCTGCTTCTACTGAACAAAGTAGGGCATGCAGCAAGCCCACTTTGCACAGTTTTCTTCCCTGCCATGAAAGCTACAGCTAAAGAACCAAACAATAAGCACAAAAAGAAACAAAACTAAAAATACATTCAAAACGTGTCAAGTCCTACTACAAGGAATGCATTTTTCTTAGCAGTCAGAAGTTTGTAGACCTTCACAGGAAGGGTCCTTCTGTTCACAAGGCACTTGCTTTGTGCACAAAGGCACGGTGCTTAGCTGCAACAAGAGACCAAGATACACCAACACCAAGCTGCCAGCACTCCGATGTTTCAGCAGCCTCAGAAAGCATCCTAAACGCTAATTCCGACCTGCTAGTGACCCACCCCCACCTGCTATCAGGAGGATGTGCACACGTATCTCCTGAAGGCTCTTTCAGCTCTCCAAACATCCCATCCCGCACCACAAGGATGGAATTGGCTCATCCAGGTGCCAAAGGGAATCAGCATCCCGGCGGTGCGGGGGGGTGTGGGTGGAAAGCACAGGACAGCACACAGCACAGCGAGCCCTCCAGGCGCGGAGCGGCGTTTCCCCGAGGCGCAGGCACCCATTGTGCCAATGTCTCCGCCGCTCGCTCACCGCCTGAGCACAATCAACGCGCAGAACATCCCGGAATGAAAGAGAAAAAAAAAACCAACAAAAAAAAAAGAAAACGAAAAAAAAACAAAACCACCCAGCACAAAGACATCCCTCGGCGTGAGGAAAAATAAAATAAAAATAAAACCAACTCACACCCGCACAGGCTTTATTTTGAGATGCCCAACTTTACGCGAGCGCAGCTCTCCCGACGGAGCGCTCCTCCCCGCCGTTCCCTCACCCCCCGCCGTGACACAGCAGCACCCGCCCGGCCGGCCGCTGAGGTACGGCCGTTACATAACGGCCCCCCCGGCACTGCCGGGCCCCCCCCACCCCCCTCCGCTGCCGGTTCCCACCCCCTCGCATTGAGTCGAAGCGGCGGCGGCTCCCGGGCACGGCGCGGCCCCGCCCGCCCCTCACCAGCGGCTGCATCTCGGCGCGCACGGCGGGCACCTGGAACCGGTCTATCTCCTCCATCATGGTGGCGGCGGGGGCGGGCGGGAAGGTCGCGGGGCTCCTCGCGCTGCCGGGCTGCTCGGCTCCTCAGGATGCTGCCGCTGCCGATACTGCCGCCGCCGCCGCCCTGCGCGGCTGCTGCCTCATCGCCGCCGCCGCTCGCTGCCGCGGTGACTCAGCCGCACAGCTTCCGGGTCCGGCTCCGACGCCCCGCCCTCGTCTTTGCATATTCGAAGAGGCGTGGCCCCGGGACGAGAGCATCCGGGCCCGGCCCCGCCCTCCGGAACGTAACCGCTCCGCGTCTCCAGGAGCGGGGAAAGGTTGGAAACGGTCCCGCGTTGCCATGGCTGCCGCTATCAACTTCCGGTCAGCCGGCGGCGGTTAGAGGCGCGTGGTGGTCGTGAGGCGCAGCCGTGCGCAGAGCTATGCCGGCCAAGGCGGGCGACAGGCAGCGGCAGGTAAGGGCCTGTCCACGGGGGGATTCGTAGCTCGGCGGCGCGGCCTCGCGTGGGATGGCGCAGCGGTGACATCACTGCTGACCGCTACCGCAGGTTCCCTACACTGGGGTGCGGTAGAAAGCACGCAGGTGGGTTTGACTGTCTCCAGAGATGGAGACTCCACAGCCAGGGCAGCCCGTTCCTGTGCCATGTCACCCTCACTGTTCCTAGGGAACTTCCTGTGTGTGCCCGTTGTCCCTGTCCTGTCACTGGGCACCACCAAAACGAGCCCAGCCCCGTCCTCTGGACACTCACACTTTAGATATTTATGAACAGATCCCCCCTCAGCCTTCTCTTCTACAGGCCCAGGTCTCTCTCAGAGGATGGGCCCTTCATCATCTCTCTGACACCTGCACTTTCACTGGTATTTCTGTGTATTGCCAATCTCTTCATTCAAGGAGGTGATCTGAGACAGCCATCACAGCATCCCTAAGGGAAGGTCATGGCTGGCCTGTCTGGTGGCTTTCAGTGATGAGGTGATGGCATCAGTGGACAAAGGCAACTGATGTGGTCTACCTGGACTTGTGCAAAGCCTTTGACGTGGTCCCCTGCCACCTTCTTATCTCCAAACTGGAGAGATTTGAAGGGTGGTCTATTTAGTGGATAAAGGATGGTCACAGCAAGAGGCCATTGGCTCAATGTACAGGTGGAACGAGTGGTGTCCCCCTGGGGTTCATCTTGTGGTTGGTGCTCTTCAGCATCTTTGCTAATGGCCATGGGATTGAGTGTACTCAGCAAGTTTGTTGATGGTACCAAGCTGAGTGGTGCAGTTGACAAAACAAAAGAAAAGACCACCATCCAGAGGGTCCTGAGCAGGGCCAAAAAGTGGACCCATGAGTAGCTAAAGGGATTCAACAAGGCCAAATGCAATGAGTTGCACTTGGGTTGGCACAATCTCAGATATGAATACAGACTGGAAGAAGAACACACTGTGAGCAGCCCTGTGGAGAAAGACTTGAGGGCCCAAATGAATGAAAAGCTGGACATGAGCCAGCAGTGTGTGCTTGTGGGCCGGAAGGCCAACAATATCCTGAATTGCATCAAAAAAGGAGTAGCCAGCAGGGAGAGGGAGGTGATTGCTCCCCTCTACTCTGCTCTCATGAGGCCCCATCTGGAGTACTGCATCTAGATCTGGGGCCACCAGTACAGCAAGAATGCAGAGCTGTTGGAGTGGATCCAGAGGGAGGCCATGAAGATGATCTGAGGGCTGGAGCACCTGTCCTATGAAGAAAGATTGAGAGAGCTGCCCTTGTCTAAACAGGAGAGGAGAAGGCTCTGGGAAGACCTCACTATGGTCTTCCAGCTTGAAGAAAGCTTATGTAAGTCTCTTCCAAGGGCCCTGGCTTTAGCAAATCCAAGGCTGAACCTCCTCCCAGGTACTCCATGATTGCCCACAGCTTGGTGCCCTTCATGTAGGAGCCATAATACTGGGTGATGTAGGGACTGTCACACTGGCTAAGCAGTGTAATCTCTCGCTGAATGTCCTCAATTTCATTCTCAGCCTCCTCCAGATCAATAATCTTGATAGCAACCACCTCCTTGGTGCGGTTGTCGACCCCTTTAAAAACTTCACCAAATGATCCTTTGCCAAGGCCAGTGAGGCCAGTCTCTTTTCAGTGGTACGTGGAGACAGGACAAGGGGAGATGGACATAAGCTGCAGCATAGGAAGTTCCACACAAATGTGCGCAAGAACTTCTTTACAGTGAGGTGACGGAGCACTGGAACAGGCTGCCCAGGGAGGTGGTGGAGTCTCCTTCTCTGGAGATGTTCCAGACCTGCCTGGATGCCGACCTGTGCGACCTGCTGTAGGGAACCTGCTTTGGCAGGGGGTTGGACTCGATGATCTCTGGAGGTCCCTTCCAACCCCTACAATTCTGTGATTCTGTGATTCTTATAAGCAGGAGGGAGATTGAATTTTTACACATTCTAATAGTGCTAGAACAAGGAGGAATTAATTTAAACTAAAAGAGAGGAAACTTAGGTTGGATGTTAGGAGAAAACTCTTTACTCAGAGGTAAAGGTGAGGCACTGAAACAGGTTGCTCCGAAAAGCTGTGGGTGCCCCATCCTTTGGAGGCATTCAGAGCTGGCATGGATGGCACCCTGGGCAACCTGACTTAGTGCCTACAAATAGGAGTTGGAACTGGATGATCTTTAAGGTCCCCTTCAACCTCAGCCATGCTATGATTGTGCACCCCACACTGTGCAACCGCAATGTTATGTTCTGTGAGATCGCAGCAGATTTCCAGGCGGTATTATGTCATGCCACGTCAGAGCTATAACAGCATGGAGTTCCCTTGTGGGTCAGGTTTTAGTGCACATGAGATGTTCCCACACTGAGATCCTTTCAAAGACAGAACTAGCATGTAGAAATCTGTTTTTAAAAATTTAAAAAAAAAAAAAAAAAAAAGCATATTGTACATAGCTTTTGTCAGTTTCTTTTTGTTTTACTCTTTGGTCTCTCAGTTCAGGCAATGAAATTAGATTGTCTCTGAACTGATAAGGACCTAACCCTGCTCTGGGGTCAGCAGTATGGGTGAGTGTACATCCATTGATCTTACTGCATGCTTCAGGCTTTGCATTGGCATGGCAGGCTGCCCACATACTCCACCTTGCGGGAGGAAGGGCTCAGGTACCTTCACTCCTGTATCTCATGTACTGCTGTAGTATCAAGGTGTTTGACTTAAAATCAGGAGGCAATTTGGCAGGTAAAACCTTTTCCTTAATAGATTTTGATCAGTCCCAACATTATTTGATCTCCAAGGGGTAAAAAAGGGATTAGCATAGGTAATCCTGAAGTGACCCAGAACAAGCAGCCTGCTTCCTCAATCCAGAGTGTCTGCTAGCAAACTGTAACTGACAAGGAAAGGTGAAGCTGAAAGAGGGACAGATGAAAGTATTCAAAGCTGTGAGATGGTATCTGGAATCCCCAGACAAGCTTCAGTGATCTGAGGGCAGCAGCTCTTTCAGGGTACATGCAACAACAAAGGAGCAGAAACCATTGCTTGTCTTTCCTCATGTAGTCCTCTTTATGGCCAAGTAACTTCTGTTTAGCCAAGAGCGACTGATCTGTACTACAGTTTGTCTACACAGTGACTGTATATAGTTTGCATAGACCTATACAATTCATGAAGCTTGAGTCAGCTGAAGGTAGCAGAGGTAGATTGGACCTGCCAGCTCCTGCAGCTGAGGACTAAGAACCATTACCTAAGTGGTTCTTCATAGGCTTGATGTCTTTGGACCCATTTCATTTTTTTTTCTGCACGTCTGGTTATAGGGCTTCTGGGCTTTGGGGCTGAAAAAAGCAAGAGAGAGGATCACTGTAACTTTTGTAATGCTTCTACTAAGAAGTACAGTTGTTGAGTTACAAAGGCTTTAAAAAGTTCACAAAGTACTGGAATTCAGAACCAAAGACTGCATTCAGCCCTTGATAATAAAGATGTTTATGCAAGATTGTAAAACCCAGTGATAATAATAAGGATATAAACTAAACTTGGGGTTAAATATTTTGCACTGAATTCCAGTTTCTCTTAGCTTTAGAATTTCTGTATAAGCATTTTCAATCATTTTCAGTAACCTTTATCTCAAGGATTTTTGAATGTCTAGATTTTCATTCACATGTTATTTGAAAAGCTTAATTAATGTTCTGAAAAGGCGTTTGGTTCATTTTAATGTGCTTGAAACATCATGAACTGTTTAAAGTCTGGATTTTTGGCTTCTCACATAACTTTCATTACCATAAGTGAAGAGAAAATCATTTTAACCTGCCCTGTATTTCCTTGCCTACGTTTGCCTTGTGCTTGTTAAATACGACTGCTGTTTCACGTACTTTCATCTACAAGAATTTTCTTGCCTTGGAGGAATTGTGTGGATCACGACTTGGCTTTGCAGTCCAGAATCTTCTGTCTCATTTCCACCGATTTAAAAGCAAGCCCATGTCACAGGGGCAGTGAGAGTCATGGCAGGGATGGCTGTGCCTCTGCACCACTCGCTGCACTGTCAGGGCCTGATTTGTATTTACTGTGGCCTGGTGGCTACTATAAAATTAACTGGTGAGTCAAGGTCTAGATCTCAATTCTTGCCAAGAAAATCTGTTTTGAAAATAAATGCACTTCTATCTCAGACACACGCCTACTCTCTGCTAATGTTCATAGTGAGGCAGGAAACAAGCCAGCTACTTGCCTATGAGACGATGTTTTTTCTACTCAGCATAATTTCCTGTCTTTCCATTCTTGTCTCTTTCATTGCAAATTCTCCTCTAAGCACTATGGTCTTTTCACCTGTCCCTGTGCTTTTCATTCCTCTGATCTATTTTCTATGTATTTCTTTGTTCTGCTATGCCTCCCAGGATTTTTTTGCTGACTGCTTTCCCTTTGAAATTTTTCTCCCTGAGATTGTTCTCAAAGCTGAGGTAGTTACCTGAACATTACCTGTTTCTTTCCTTTGTCATGTGTCACTTCCAGTCCCTCCTTCTTTTTCATGGCCCTGTGCTCTTCAAGTGCTTTGTAATCAATTCTTTTTCTTCTTTTCCCTTTTAGGTGGTG